CTGCTTCAACCGTATCGGTCTACGCCATACAGTTCCCTCACAGTTTATTGCTACTTACCTAAAGGGTATCCCCAGATCCGGGTTAGGATCTATAGTAACTTCGATACAAGCCCACAAATATAAAGCATACAAAGCAAGCAATTGAAAACACAATGATCTAATCCTAAGGTACACCCCACTTATAATGTCCCCAGCAGAGTCGCCAGTTCTGTGATACAGTGGGAAGAACTGACTGTTTTTTGGTGTGCTGGTTCGCATTTTGCGTTTGTATTTGCAAAATGTCGCGGTAAGCAAGAGTCGCCACCGTCTTTTATTTTATCCAACAAGGAAAGGAAAAAAGCACAGAAAAATTCCTTTTTCGAGATGTTTCTCGGGTCCGGGGGGTAGATTATAGAAAGGGAAGGTGTTGGCACCCTTTCTATCCGTGGTTATCCACGAGCTCTTAGGTACTTGCTCAAAGTGTTTTCAAAATTTTCTTTTTTCTTTGTGTTTGTGGGTTTGAAAGAAGTTTTTATTTGAAAGGTGTAAGTGCGAAAAGTTTTATCTTTGGAAAGAGCAAGTACTTAAGAACCATCTACCTACTCGAAAAAGGAATCAATTTGTGCTAATGTCCTTTAGACAATGCTATCCCACTATTGATGAGTAGGTAGCATCGTCGTTGGAGTTTTAAGGGTCAATTCAATTAAGGGACGTGCGGTCACTAAAGCAATGTTAGGACGCCTTAGCGGTAACCCTAATGTCTTAGATCATTTTTCCGAGGCAACCGTTTCGAGGCAACTATGATCTTTGGACAAGAGGGCGACCACTACAAGAAAATTAGTGTTTAACGACACAAAAATTACGACAGTTATGTGATAACTGTCGTAATTGACATATAGAGACAGTGTTTACGACAGTTGACACCAACCGTCCCTAATATTTATTTTGCGACGGTATATTTAACCATCATAATATTATTATTACGACGGTAAAACAACCGTCGGCCCCCATTTAACACTTTTAACATTGATTTTTCACCAACAACTAGTCACGACGGTAAAATTAACCATCCTAAAAGGCATATCACGACGATAAAGCACCCGTCGCACCCTTAAACCTTTCACGACGGTAAAATTATCCGTCCTAAAATTCATTTCACGACGGTAAAACAACCGTCGCACCCAAAACCTTTAAAAATTCTCATGGGCACGACGGTAAAACACCCGTCGTCGTAAAAAAGTTAAAAAGCTCATGAAACATCCATTCACTTTCTACTCCTGCGTTCAGTTTTTCTACTCACAGTGCCGTTCATGCCGTTCTTCTTCACACCGAAAGAAACCCCTTGACACCGAAAGGAATCTCTTCAAACCGCTCATCTTCACACCAAAAAACGCACAGCAAGCAGTTTAACATCCTCTGCGTTCATCTCTTCAAACACAGTAAGTTTTATGTATCACTTTTTGCATTGTTCTCATCTCTCTCATTCTCTGCCATTGATTTCAGCATTGGAGATTCACTTGAATCTTATGGTTGAGCTCTTTGTGATGATTGATTTTGAGTTTGAATATATTTAATTGATGTTAGGTTTTCTAGTTTGTTGTTTTAGGGTTTTATTTCTTTTTATGATTTTTTAGGTTTTCTAATTTGTTGTTTTAAGTCTAACTGTAACATTAAATTAGAATATGATATCGTTAAGAAACTTGATAAGTCGCTTCAAGATAGTGATAAGGAATTTCAGACCGAAATGAGTGTGATAGGACAAACTCATCACAGAAACCTTGTTCGTCTTCTTGGATATTGCAATGAGGGACAACATCGGATTTTGGTTTACGAGTTAATAAGCAACGGAACTTTAGCAAGCTTCCTTTTCACCTCTTTAAAACCAAATTGGAACCAACGATTCCAAATTGTTCTTGGAATTGCTAGAGGTCTTGTATACTTGCATGAAGGATGTTGCACCCAAATCATCCATTGTGATATTAAACCCCAAAATATACTTCTAGATGATCACTACAATGCTAGGATTTCAGATTTTGGGTTAGCAAAGCTATTGCTGATTAATCAGAGCCACACCGAAACTGGAATTAGAGGAACCAAAGGGTATGTTGCGCCAGATTGGTTTAGGAGTGCACCAATCACTGCAAAAGTTGATACTTATAGTTTTGGTGTATTGTTGTTAGAGATCATTTGTTGTAGGAAAAATGTAGAGAAGGAATTTGTTAATGAAGAACAAGGGATTTTAACTGATTGGGCTTATGATTGCTATAAGACTAAAAGACTTGACAATCTCTTAGAAAATGATAATGAGGTCGGAAATGACATGATGAGTTTGGAAAAGTTAGTCATGATTGTTATTTGGTCTATTCAAGAAGATCCTTCTCTTAGGCCAACAATGAAGGAGGTTTTACTGATGTTAGAAGGAATAGTCGAAGTTGTTGTTCCCCGAAGTCCCTATCTTTATGGTTCTGTAAGTTGTAATTAAAATTAAAATTTCTTTTGAATATTTAGCTCTCATTCATATCATATCACAGAAATTAAATTGGATTTTATTATTAAGCTATGTTTTGCTTTTTCTTTTGCACTTAACAAATAAGGTATCTATTGACTCAGACACATATTCAGACACAATAAATTCTAAGAAAACCCAGAAAGCTATTCGGGTCATGGAGATTTTGGAAAAGCACGGTCAGGCTGATGTTTTTGCGTATGAAGCACTTTTAAATGGGTACTGTAAAGCTGATATAGTTGATGCTGCCAATAAGGTGCTTGATAGAATGAAAAAGAGAGGTTTTTTTACCTGATGTTGTTACTTATAATATTCTCATTGGGAGTCTTTGTGGGAGGGGTAAACTTGATTTGGCTTTAAGGGTTATGGATCACTTGTTGAAAGATAATTGTAGGCCAAATGTTATAACTTATACTATTTTGATTAAAGCAACTATTATTAAAGGTGGTATTGATAAGGCTATGAAGCTTTTGGATGAGATGTTGTCGAGAGGGCTTCGACCTGATGTGTCTACTTATAATGTTGTTGTTAAAGGTATGTGTAAAGAAGGGTTGTTGGATAGAGCTTTTGAGTATCTTAGTAGTATAAGTTGTAAGGGTTGTGTTGCTGATGTGAGTCCTTATAATATTCTGTTGAAGAATCTTTTGAAAGAAGGGAAATGGGAAGCTGGAGAGAGTTTGATGTCTGATATGTTGGATAAAGGTTGTGAGCCGAGTTCTGTGACATACAGCATATTGATTTGTTCACTTTGTCGTGATGGTAAAATTTTCGAGGCTGAGAATGTGTTGAAGGGTATGAAGAAGAGAGGGTTGGCTCCTAATGCTTATTGTTACAATCCATTGATTTCTGCTATTTGTAAAGAAGGAAAAGTAAATTTGGCTATAGAGTATTTAAATAACATGATATCAGATGGTGCTTGCTGCTATTGAGGTGCTTGCTGCTATGAATCAGAGAGGATGTGTGCCAAATGAAAATACATGATGTGCACTCCAGTATCTCATAGTGGCATGTACAAGCAGTACGGGAAAAGTACATGAAATCCAAGGTACGTAGTGGATTGGGTTTCCTTGCAGTCAAAGTCACACGCATTCACGTACTCAGAGTTTTACTGACAATTCAATCAAGATCAGTCAGGGTCACTAAAGCCCTGAATGCATAAATGTGTGGTTAATGTGACTGCATTGAATCCATTTTTAGCGGTGTTCACTTAGTTTGTCAGTGTTTGTTATTGAATCCAGCAACAACCAATTATTTTTACCCATCTTTGTTATGTCTCACTATAAACTTCAAGTTCTGTCTTGATTGCACCTGTTAGGATTCATGTTTAGTTAGTATATAGTTTTTTATTCTTTGTAGTAGTGGATATCCTTTTATAGTCTAGCGTATCAGCGTATGTGCTGCTATCTGTGATTAATGCATAGGTTCAAATCAACAAATTATATTTTAAATAAAACCTCCCAATTTAATTTATTTTAGGGTACATTGGTTCTTTAATTAAAACCTTCACCCTCTTCTTCTTCATCATCTTCCTCTCCATCTTTGATATTTCACTTTTCTTTATAACTGAGCAGAGATTTCTGAGTTTAGTTTCTGTATCATCTATTATTTTTTAGCCACTATCCATGTTTTAGCCCTTTTCATTAAACTAGCCTTCATTGTTTTCATTTTCCTTGTGCTTTTGGTATATTAACTTGTTCATCTGTTTCTTATTCCTGTTCAGTTTTAATTTGAGTTATCAGGTTGTAGTTTCTTGGGGTGTAAAATTATGGTTTTTAGATGTGATTCAAAATTTGCCATTTAGGGTTGTGGTTTTTGGGTAGGGGTTACAAACAGTTTTTGAGTATGGCATCTTTGACTGCTGGGGAAATTCCTGCAAACTATTTTGATCCTATTGATCAATAAGATTTGAGCCGTTGAACACCATCTGCACTTTCCATCCACAAATTTTGTCGAGTCTGTTTCGAAGAGCCCCATCAGCTTATTATAGGCGCCAGAAACTCTGATGATTTGCTGCTGTTTTGTATGATTTATAAACAGATCAATAAGTAACAGATCTAGTAATCTGGAATTCTGTTAAATTATATCATAGATGCTATTGAGGGTCTGGAGCACAGTACCGGCCGTTGTTTATACACTGAGACTTGCATTGATTGCTTAAGAGAAAATCATTAGGGCAGTACCAAGTTATAAAGTGAGTAGTAAATTGAGTGAACCCCTTCTTCTCAAGAAACTGAGTTGCACCCCTTCATGCATCTGAAACATGAAGTGTCTTCTGGACTAGAATGAAAATAATAATGTTTTTGTTGGATTTAAAGGGATATGAGCTGTTGAAAAATATAAGATTTCTATTTGATAAATCTATGTCCTTAAAACCAAAGAAGCGTATACGAAATGCAAAATCATTAGCATCACCAAAGTATGAGAAGTTTACAAGTTTTAACGTAAAAAAACTTTGGAACAATCTCGCATGTAGGAAACTTTAGCAAGTAAATTACCCATGACATAGAACAGAAAGCTAAGCAGTGTCTGTTGCGGGTTGAGTCACTTCGGACTTCACCAACAGCTTAGTCAAATTCTCTGGGGAGCAAACTTGATACTTAACTTTTCCAGAGAGTGAAAGAAAAACTTATGCAAGTTCAAGCTTATCCAAGGTAAGACTAGTGGTGTCCATAGTTTTACTCAGTACCTTCAGTGCAAGTTGAACTGCTTCTTCCCTTGTGATATCATCCTTGTAGTCCTATTTTAGAATTGACTGTGCTGCCTGATTGTTGGCACCAATGGCACCGGCTTTCCAACCGCCGTAATTTCCACTGGGATCACTCATGTAAAGTTGAAAGCCAAAATTTTTGTCCCAGCCTGCAAACAGGAAAGAAACTCCAAAAGGACGGAGACCACCGAATTGTGTGTAACCCTGCTTAGTATCACAGAGAGATTGAACCAACTGCTCAACGAGCATAGGCTCTTGGTACCCAAATAAGTAACGATGTGCTTGGATCCTAGCGGTATTGATTAAGATGTTGGCGTCGGACATAATCCCGGCAACAGCACATGCAACATGATCATCGATCTTGTACATTTTCTTAGTCGAAGTTGAGGTTTGAAGCAGCTTGGATGTCACCTTCTTCTCGCCAACCAGAACAACTCCATCTTTTGACAAGATTCCTATTGCAGTGCCAGCATTTCCAATAGCTTCCATTGCATACTCCACTTGATAAAGGCGTCCTTCAGGTGAGAATATTGTTGTACAGCTATCATATCTTCGAGACATTTTGATCAAAAGAGGGGAAGACGGTAGCGCCGATTGAAAAACATTGACAGTTTATAAATAATACAAAACAGATCTAGTAATCTGGAATTCTGTTAAATTATATCATAGATGCTATTGAGGGTCTGGAGCACAGTACCGGCCGTTGTTTATACACTGAGACTTGTATTGATTGCTTAAGAGAAAATCATTAGGGCAGTACCAAGTTATAAAGTTAGGAGTAAATTGAGTGAACCCCTTCTTCTCAAGAAACTGAGTTGTACCCCTTCATGCATCTGAAACATGAAGTGTCTTCTGCACTAGAATGAAAATAATAATGTTTTTGTTGGATTTAAAGGGATATGAGCTGTTGAAAAATATAAGATTTCTATTTGATAAATCTATGATTTCTACCAACTATTGATATGCTGCTTTGGTTTTTGTTGCAGGTAACTTTTCTCTTCCACTTGCTTCGCTGCTCTTCAAACCCTCATGCGTCTTTGAGGTATGATTTCATTCTTAAATTTGAGTGTGCCTTTACTATATCACTGTTTAATAGTGTTAGACTAAAGAATTTTATCTTATAAGAATTTTATCTTAAATTTGAGTGTGCCTTTACAAATACATTATTCTTATAAGCAATTGTAATAACCAAAATTGCAATGTTTGCAATCGCATTCATACGGGACCGCAAAAGCACTTTAAAATCCTAGTACAAAGCAATATTAAGGTCGCACTCGCACACTGACACAACATAAGTAAATATTCTTGAAGTACCTAGCTAAATGTAGTAAACATATTGATATGAAGTATTTATCCATATATGTCTGTTACATGAAACTGTATTATACTAATTGATATCACAAGGCTTCACCTATAAACTTGTTATGTAGTGTGTAAAAACAAATTAAACAACCAATAATAAAACTCATCTCTTTTATTTTTCTATTGTTTATATTCAAAATAACATGTTCTCGTAAGTACTAGAATTCTGAAAATATAATTTTTTTTTTTGAAGAAATGGATAAGTCATGGATTATTAAGCCACAATCATCGATTGCGTATCAAAAAGGGATACAAGAATTTATTGATTTTGCATTTAAAGGTGCAAAAGAAAACGACGTAGTAATATGTCCTTGCAAACATTGCGGTTTCAGAAAATTAAAGAGTATGAGTGACATGTTCGACCACTTAAGTTGGTCACCATTTCCACAGGGATACACCATGTGGATCCATCACAGAGAGTCTTTTGTACGATCTAGTACTATCTCCCCTAGTATTACTCCAAGTATGGTAGAAGATACTAACATTGTCGAAGAACCTATTCAGAACATGATCAACGATGCATTTGGAGTTTATGGGAATCATGCAAATGAAATACCATCTGCGTCAAATTTGGAGATTGAACAAGAAGATTATGTGATGCCAAGCTCAACTCAGGAAAGAAACGAAGCCAAGGAGTATTATGAGTTGGCTAGAGAAGGAGAACAACCTTTATATGAAGGGTGTAGACGATATTCAAGACTATCTTTTTTGGTTAAGTTGTACCATATAAAGTGTTTATGTGGATTGAGTGAGAAGGCAATGACAATGATTTTAGAGTTAATAAAAGATGCATTTGAATATGCAAACATTCCAAGTTCATTCTATGAAGCCAAGAAATCAATCACAAAACTTGGTTTGAATTATGTAAAGATACCCGCATGTCCAAACGGTTGTATGCTTTATTGGGGAGAAGATGAGGAGAGGGAGACTTGCAAAAATTGCAACACTTCAAAATGGAAAACAAATGAGGATGTCTCTGTTAACAAGAAAAAAAAGAAAATTCCTGCCAAGGTTCTTCGTTATTTTCCATTAAAACCTCGATTACAGAGATTATTTTTGTCATCAAAAACGGCAGAGGATATGAGATGGCATGCAACAAATACTAACAATGATGGAATGTTGAGGCATCCTAGAGATTCAGAAGCTTGGAAGAAATTTGACTTGACACATACTTGGTTTTCATCAGATCCACGGAATGTGCGTCTTGCATTGGCTAGTGATGGTTTTAATCCTTTTGGTGTGATGAGTACAAACAATAGTATTTGGCCAGTTGTTCTCATACCATATAACACTCCTCCATGGGTTTGCATGAAGCAGACATCATTTAGAATGTCAATGATAATTCCCGGTAAAGAGGCACCAGGAAATAATATTGATGTCTACTTACAACCATTAATCAAAGACCTGAAGGAGTTATGGACAAGTGGTGTGGATACATACGATTCTTTCAAGAAAGAGATGTTCAAGTTGCATGCAAATTTGATGTGGACTATTAGTGACTTTCCAGGGTTGGGTTCACTTTCTGGGTGGAACACATACACATGACTTGCTTGCCCATCGTGTAACTTTCAAACTACACCTCTCCGTCTTAAAGCTAGTCGTAAATGGTGTTTTATGGGTCATCGTCGTTTCCTTGATCGGAGACACAGGTTTAGATTGAACAAGATCCGCTTTAATGGTGAACAAGAAATGCGGAGTCCACCGAGAACATTATCTGGACATGAAGTTTTTGAAAAGGTTAAAGATGTTGAAGTCATCTTTGGTAAAAAGGCAGTGAAAGAAAAATCAGTAAAAAGAACACGTGAGGAACAACCTATAAAAGGTGATAGTACACAATGTGATCCTACAAAAGGTCATCCTCAACAATGGAAAAATAAAAGCATATTTTTTGAACTTCCGTATTGGAAAGATAATCTTCTACGCCATAATCTTGATCCGATGCATATTGAGAAAAATGTCTGTGATAATGTCCTATTTACTCTACTGAATGATAGGCAAAAGAGTAAAGACCATTATAAAGCTCGAGAAGACCTTCAAAATATGGGCATAAGACCTGATCTTTGGCCTGATGAAAATGGTAAAATTTCTCCGGCTGCCTTTAGTTTAACAGGTAAAAATAAAAGGAATTTTTTAATGACTTTAAAGAATATTAGGGTGCCTGATGGTTATTCAAGCAACATTTCTAGATGCATTGACTTAGTAAATCTCAAGGTGAATGGAATGATGAAGAGTCATGATTGTCATATATTAATGGAACAACTTTTACCATTAGCCATTCGCACAACATTACCTCATGAGGTTTCAGCAGTATTGATTGAGTTGTGCTCATTCTTTAGACAATTATGTGCCAAGGTATTGAAAATTGAAGACATGGAAAAATTGCAAAACCAAATTGTCCTCACTTTATGCCATATGGAAATGTTATTTCCTCCCTCGTTCTTCACGGTTATGGTCCACTTGGTTGTTCACCTTGTTGAAGAAGTTAAACTTGGAGGTCCTATTCATTATCGATGGATGTATCCTGTTGAAAGGTAAACTATGTGATTTTGTTCTAATGTTACTAACTTAATTAGAAAGTAGAAAGTTTTTTTAACTAGTGTTATTGTGGTTCAATGATAGGTACTTGGGAAAACTTAAATCGTATGTACGTAATAAGGCAAAACCAGAAGGGTCTATTGCAGAAGGATACCGTTTTGAAGAGATTCTTACATTTTGTTCAAGATATCTAGAAAATATTGAGACTAGATGGAATCAACCTGGACGTGTAGATGACGACCCTATTGATGATATCCAAACTGCTTCACGTGTAGCTGAATTATTTCCTAGAGTTGGAAAACCTGTGGGTGGATCTTCTTATTACACCCTAACACCAACTGAAAAATTGCAGGCTCATAGACACGTTTTAACAAATTGTCCAATAGTTGACGACTATCTAAAGTATGTAGTTTTATTACATTTAAGTAGTTTCATCTATACTATTAATATTTTTTTACATCTAATATCGAATAATCAAATAGGCAGTTCCGAAGTTTTACTCAAAACCAAATGAGGCGCAGTCAAAGAAGTGCTACTGAGATAGACAAGAAGGTTCATAAGGAGTTTGCGCATTGGTTCAGCAATCGTGGGAGTTTTCATACAAAAATAGATGTTTTATTGAATTGGTTTTTAATAATAACAAGACTAATTGAATGTTGTATCATGTATAGATTCGCAACAATCTTGACAACATTCATGGGCCAGATAAAGATGTTCTCATTAGTCTTGCTCATGGACCTTTTGATAAAGTTAAAAGATTTACCGCGTTCAATGTCAATGGATTCAAGTTTCGAACATTGGAACGAGACAATCTTTTAAAAACTCAAAATAGTGGAGTTTTTGGCATGTTTGGGACACGAAGTTATTCAAGCAATAGTGATACCCAAATGAGATTTGGAGGGGTCCCTTACTATGGAAGATTAATAGATATTATTGTGCTTTCCTATGATGGCTTCACAGTGCCCATGTTTAAATGTGAATGGGCTAATACCATAAACCCAAGAGGAATTAAGATAGATAAGTTGGGTTTTACCTCTATAAACTTTGCAAGACTACTACATACTAGTGAACATGAAGATAATGAGCCATATATTCAAGCATCTGAAGCTCATATGGTTTTTTATGTAGATGATGAGAGTGAACAAGGATGGAGCATACATGTTCATTTGAAGCCAAGAGACTTGTATGACATGGGTGAAAATGATGAAATTATGACACCCATTGAGCCATATCCATCACAAAATTTGGAACAAATCTTTTCAAATGATGATCTTGGAACTTCAGCGACAAATGATGACAATAGTTAACATATAGTTTTTTATTGATAAGAATCTAGTTTGTTTGTAACTTGTGTGAGACTTAATGTATGATATTCCATTGTTACTCTATGTTCTTTGTTGCTTATCCCTAATTAATATGTTAGATGACATTGTTACTCTATGTTTTTAATTTATTTTGTTTATGTTATGTTTATTAAATTTGTATTCACTAATATATAATTTTGATGTTTACTACTTTTAGTGTACTTAATACCTATACTTGCAGTTGAAGCCTTTTGTGAGACAATGACTACACCATATGAGAATAGTCGCCTCAAAAGAATTGCAGAGAATAAGAAAAAGTTAGCGGCTCTCAATATTCCTACACTCTCTCAATCCCTTCACAAATCATCAGAGTCTTCTTCCAAACCATCACTGGTCAGTCATAAATTCTCTATACTACTCCATACAAATTAATTGTACTTATTATTTACTAATATTCACTAATGTATTTTATTTAGTCTGTGAAGGGCCGTTCAAGGTTTGTACAACCTGGAGAGCTTGAAGTAAATAAGAAGCGCCTACGTTCAATTACAACTCGCAAATCATCAATAACCCCTCCACTAATGGAAACTACAATAACCCCTCCGTCAATCCAAATTGCAAAAGATGTTGTGGTAGAAGATGAGGATGAAGATGACATGGTAGGAGATGAGGCTGATGATGTTGTGGTAGGAGATGGGACTGGAGATGTTGTATTAGGAGATGAGGCTGAAGATGTTGTGGTAGGAGATAAGGCTGAAGATGTTGTGGTAGGAGATGGGACTGGAGATGTTGTGGTAGGAGATGAGGCTGAAGATGTTGTGGTAGGAGATGGGACTGGAGATGTTGTTAAAGTGGCTAAATCTGAGTATTGGGATGTAAATGTCATTAGTAAGTAATTTAAGGTTAAAGTATCTATAAATAATTTAAATTTTTTACATAGTTGAGTTATGAAATTAATTTGTTTACTTTTTTAATGTGATAGACGAGGAAGGTTATGTTTCAAACACACGTTTATGTGTGAAAGACTTGGTTGCGAAATCAGAGCCTGATGGAACATGGATAATACTTGAATTCAATAAGAATAATTGTGCAGTAGGACCGGCTTCTGGTTTGCTAGCAGGATATTTGGGTATAATTATTAGAATGTTTAGAGATATTCCCATAATGTTTGAGAGTTGGAAGAATGTTCCAGCAGATATTATGAATCAAAGATAAAGGTATTATTAATAAACAATTACATATTTTTTAAATTAACTTCATGGTGATTATTATTTCCTTTGTCAACTAATATATTTTTATGTTTAGCGCCATTTTCTTGTGGATGATGGGCGTGACAAAGATTTTGTACTTGCTTCTGCTGCAAGGAAATGGAAGGATGCTCGACATACATTGTTTCACGAATTTTATAGATGGGATCTCCCTTTGGAGGAAAATCTTCAAAATTATCCAAAATGCAGAGGCATTCCTGAAAATGACTGGGCTGTTTATGTTCAATATAGGCGGAAAGAAAAAACACAGGTAACATTAGTGTTTTTATTTGTTAGATTTCTCTGGTTTGTATGTTATCCCTATCTATAATGCATGTTTTTATTTGTTACAAATGTAGAAAATATCCCAAAAAAATTCCCAAAATAGAGCAAAATTGAAGGCTCCGCATACACTCGGATCTAAGTCACTTGCAAGGAAGAAACATGAGTTGGTATGTCTAAATCTATATGTTGTTGATCGTTTGCTTGATAGTACAAACAATTTATATTAGTTTTTATTTGCAGGAAATGAGAGATGGACGAACATACAGCAGAGGAGAAATATATGCAGTTTCTCATAAAAAGCCTAACGGGTCATTTATCAATGAAGATGCATACAACAATAATGTAAGTACAAGTTAATTCTTTTGAAATACTGGAAAAAAAACGGTAATAGTAATAGAACCATCCCAAATAAAACTCACCACTGGAATTTATATATATAATATGGAGAAAGAGCCCGATATATGCTTGGATTCCACTTGATGACATTGTAAATGCCAATCGTGAAAATAGATAGTAACCATAGGATGATTATGGGAGGAAACATGAAAGCAATCGCGTGGGAGCCACGGTGTTGCAAAATAAAGAGACTAACCAGTAGAACACAGGAAATAAGAGGCATCATACCTGCATAGATTAGAAGCGTAAGTTGTAATGGAAAAATCACCTATGCTGCATTTGACATATATTTGAAACATTGAAAATTGTGGGGTAACTTTAGTGGGAAATTTCAGAATAAATATCCTAGAGTGATTTTGTTTATACTGAAGAATGGTGGATAGCAAGCTTTACTGAACTTCTTGTAAACAATTCTCCATGTCACATTTGCAATAGTTTGTGCCACCTCCTAGTTTGTGCCAACTTCTTTTTACGTATATATGGAAGTCCATGATTTGATCAAGAGGTTCTCCCCCAATATATTATTCTTGTTATATAAACAATAGCTCAATTTTTTCTTTTTCATGTGCAGAAAAAATTACAAGCTGCAATTAAGGATTATGTGTCTGAAAATGAGGCATTTCAGAAAGTATTTGGAAAAGAAAAGCATGGATATGTTCGTAGTATAGGACTTGGAGTTACACCATCTCAAATTAATAGATCTACGAGATCGACATCTTCTTCTGCAGAAAGTGAACAAATAAAGGAAATGCAAGAAGAAATTAATGCACTTAAAGAAAAGAATTCAAAAATTGATGAATTAACACAGGCAATCATATTCTTAACGCAAAGGGACAAGGCAAGGACAAAGGAAATTGAACTCTTAATGCAAATGCAGAATTTTAGTGGAAGACAGGTATATTATTTTGATGCATTTAAAGTTAAATTTTATAAGTATTATTTTAAAGATTATTATTTTAATACCTTTTTTTAGGGATTGGAATCACCCGCTGATGGTAGACGTTCATCTGAGTCTAGCTACCGTATTGGAGATAATGGAACTTCAGGGGGGACAAATTAGACTTTGTTATGATCGAGATAATTAGATTGTGAACTTTCTCATGTATTTTGGCATAATGATACTTATTATTATAAGATTAAGAATTGATATATTTTGGGTTTTTTGTACTACTTGACATGATTATGGAACTCGCATTTTACATGATTATGGAACACACATTTTTTTGGATATTATAATGCTTATTTGATGTTAAATATTTTTTATTGAAATTATTTTTACTATATTACAAAGTGATAGAAAATAAAACAAAAAATAATACTATAAATAAATATATTAAAGAAGAAATAATTTAAAGAAAAAAATAACACAAAAAAAACTATATTTAAAATTTTTTACATAGATAATAATTTAAATAAAAAATATATATAATAGAAAAATTAAAAAAAAATCAAGACATAAACAAAAGTCATGGCGACAGTACCGAACCGTCGTAATCAACAATTAAAAATAATCAACAAAAGTCATGACGGTATCGAACCGTCGCCATAAACAATTTAATCAATTTCAAAAGATATTCACGACAGTATCGAACTGTCGCCATCAATAATTAAAAGAAACTCAAAAGATAGTCACGACGGTATCAACCCGTCGTAAACTTGAACGACAGTTTTTGTAACCGTCGCGAAATAGGTTGGGGACACACACTTCTGAATAATTGTAACCGTCGGAAATTAATTTTAAGCAGAACGTCTCCGAATAATTTGATTTCTCTGAAGCGGTGTTGGATTTAATTTTTGGTTACTTGTTCCCCCGACATTTGGGAATTTATAATTTGGATTTCATTCAGCATATTCAGAAGATTCCTCAAGTACTGAAACTTCTCGGTTTTATTACTAACCCTCATGTTCAGGTCAAGGACTAATCTGTTAATAAAGCATCCAAGAAATTTATTTGCTTGAATGTGGTAACTTGAATTAATTGTCGTTTCACCGTCTTGAGGATATTAAAATTCCTAAGTCCGATCAGGTTATCGTCTCGGAGTGGGTTTTATATTTAAAAGTATGCCTTTATGTCCTCTCCAACTCATATGTTCGACCAAAAGCTAATTCCTCAAGGAAAGTCCCCGAACGGGCGAATCTTCGAAAGATGCACAGGGGAAAATATAGTGAAAAAGTGTGTTGAAGGTGCAGTTTTTGAACGCCAATAAATTCATAATAAATTCATTGTTCGTTGTTTGACGTTCGTTCCGGTGACTGAAATTCCACCTTGACGTCATCTACACTTCATCTTTCATGGTCGAGAGGTGATTCCTTAGGAAAGGTGTCGCAAGTTACGGATTTCTAAGAAATTTTTCAGTATAAAAATAGTGACAAATATTATTTTTGGCGATGTTCAAAAATTCATATCTCGATTAATTTTTGTCATATCACATTGGTTCTGGCGGCATCGGTTCAAAAATTCCATTAGCTTTGTTTCGGTTTCACATTCCACGCGTGTACGATATTTATAAGGCTTCCGTTTTTCGTCCATTTCGTCTGCGACGCACTAAAAATCCTGAACTAGAAATTAAAGTTGTCTGAGGCGAAACTTCAAAAATCTATAACTAAATTACCGTTTATCCGATTGAACCCATCTTCTAACATGAGGTCATTCCTAATGTTAGCTATGTTTTGGTTTTATATTTTGACCTCAAAAATTGTATTGAGGCCCCTACGAATTTGACCTGAACGTGTCAAACTCAAGTGAATTAAAAAATCTGCATTAGTGTTTGTGATTATTTGAGGCTCATTAACCAAATCCACTCACATAAGCCCACACTATATATTCTCATTCACACTAATTTCTCAAACAAAAAAAAAAACTCATCAATCTCAAAAAATATTCTACAATTCTCTCTCTCATTCTCTCAAGGATCAAACACTTCTCTCTCACTTTTCTTCCAAGATCTTCATCAAGATCATCAACAATTCTCAACAATTTTCATCAATTCTCAAGATCAAGAGGTAAACTCAATATAAACTCCATTATTTTCTCATAATTGAAACTTGATTGCATTTGGTTATTGAATTTTAAAA